CACTCTCTTACCATGATCTTGTTTATCAAAGGTGACATCTTTCATCACACTCTTACCATGATCTTGTTTATCAAAGGTGACATCTTTCATCACACTCTTACCATGATCTTGTTTATCAAAGGTGACATCTTTCATCACACTCTAACCATGATCTTGTTTATCAAAGGTGACATCTTTCATCACACTCTTACCATGATCTTGTTTATCAAAGGTGACATCATTCATCATATTTACCACGATATTGTTCATCAGTGGTGACATCTTTAATCACATTCTTACCGTGATCTCGTTTATCAGATGTGACATCTTTCATTACATTTCCAAGGTCTTTTGTATCAGTGGTGACATGTTTCCTCATACCATTATCTTGTTTATCAGCGGTGACATCTTTCTTCACTCTGTTACCATGATCTTCTTTATTAGTATTGACATTTTCATCACATTTTTACCATGATTTTGTTTTTCAGCAGTAACTTCTTCACTCACACTTTATTATCGGTGACATCTTTCCTCACTTTTTTATAATGATCTTGTTTATCAGTAATGACATCTTTCATCATACTTACCATCATCTGAAACGTTTGGATACTTCTTGACTGGGTGATAAATGTACGACGTTTCGATAAGATTATATCATCCTGAGCTTTAATGTGATGAAAGTACCTGAAGATGACAAAACCTTGTCGAAACGTTGTACATTTGCTGTTATGTTAAACTTATATTAAAGTTTTTCTTCATTACCCATTCAAGCCGTCTCCAGCCATTATTAGTCACAAAGTGGGTTACTCGTCATCGAATCTCCATAAATTGTTCTTATTTCTATGCTCTGTTGTCATCTCCGTAATATGCCCTGTGCTCTGACGTCATCTTTGTAATATGTTCTGATATCATATCCGCAATACGTTCTATGCGCATGTTAATTATCATTATTATATGTTACAAAAGGATCATTTGTTTAGTGACCATCCACTGCTTTTGTTGTTTACAGGATAACATATACTAATGAAAGTGACCTCTGTATTTTTGAAGGTCACCATTCCCCAGTAAAAAGGCAATGGTCAGTGGGAGAGTGGCCTCTTCCACACGAGGAATTAAATAAAGCCAGCGAGGCAGAAGTACGTTTGAGGAAACCACCACGACCAAAATCCGAGGTGATTTACAATGGTGACCGGGTCAGGTGTCAGCGTTACTCTGGAGTGGGGTTCGCGGTAAGTGTTTTTACCTTTTATTTCCAAGGGGTCGTTGAAGATAATAACGTATAATATCGATCGCGATAGAAACCAGTATCTCTGCTCGTATTTTTTAAGATTTGACTGGATTTATTTTTCGCTTTTCTTATTATCACCTTAAAAAAAATAAACATTCGCAACCTGAATTAGAAATAACAAAGATATACCTTGTTGACGTTTTCAATTGTGACATTATTATTTTTTCGTTTTTCGAAGTAAATATACAAAATCTTATTTAAACTAGCAGAGACCTGCGAAAAATTTGCGGTTAAACAGTACTTCTTTAACTACAGGATTTCTAGAATAATACAAACGAATTATAATCGCAGACTGAAATCTAGAAGTCTACTTGTTTTAGGCCTAACATTAGTTAAGCCTTTATTCAATAAGTCATATATTCGAAAAAGAAATAAATTAACATTGTAACTTGTGTACGTTTTTTTTTGGCGTTAATTTAATTAAGGCTAAACTTTACCGTACTTAATACCATCAATAAATAAACTTACATTGTTATTCTACGACTTAATGTTATACTTTTTAAACTCGTCATTAAGCTTTTAATATGTTGTTCTTGTACAAAATATCTACTGAAGTATATTTACATCCGCCCTTTTTTTTTTACATTCGTATAAGTGCGCGCTCATGCGCATTTAGATTATTATAATGAGTATTATTATAATGGATTTTCCGTTAAATCGTGTTATGGTACACTTTGGTGTATGTGTGTGAATCTGTCTGCGTGTGAACACATGCTTATAGGGATGGTGAGTGTACCAATGCTTGAACAATGCAACTAGTGTTAAAGCGTTCTCTTTACTCCCTAAACACGCTACTCTTGCTATATTTGTAGAACCCCATTGATATACTCGTAAAAATACTGTAAAGTCACAAACACTGGAAGCAAGATGTGTCTGTAAAGTGAGAATGGATCGAACCTGTTAAATGTGCACCTGTCCAAGTCAGACAGGGAGGTTCGGAGGCAAGCTCCCCCGAAAAATGTTAACCATTAATGCGGCAGTTTGAGCCTCTTGATGTTATAAAACAAGAAAAATAATTAATTCCCAGTTTGTCCTTCACTTGACTCTCTTCGTGTTATTTTACAACTCGATTTCCAGCTAATAGAGTAATTTTAGGATTTTTATGTTTTTAAAAAAATAATTTTGAAATAAAAAACTACTCTATTTAAAAAAACAACTCATAAACTTATCGAAATTTATGGAGGGGTGGGGGAGTCGTGTTGTCTTTTCCCCTCGTGTTATTTTATTTTTTTGGTCTCTGGGTTTACGGCTTTGTTAAATATTTTTGTGGCTGTGACATTCTTTTAAAAACGTGAGTAATGTGTTTGTTGATATTCTACAAGTGATATTTGAACACAACATGTAATGCTGGGTTTGTTGATATTCTACAAGTGATATTTGAACACAACATGCACTGTTGTGTTTGTTGATATTCTACAAGTGATATTTGAACACAACATGCACTGTTGTGTTTGTTGATAGTCTACAAGTGATATTTGAACACAACATGCACTGTTGTGTTTGTTGATATTCTACAAGTTATATTTGAACACAACATGCAATGCTGGGTTTGTTGATATTCTACAAGTGATATTTGAACATAACATGCAATGCTGGGTTTGTTGATATTTTACAAGTGATATTTGAACATAACATGCAATGCTGGGTTTGTTGATATTATACAAGTGATATTTGAACATAGCATGCTGTGTTTGTTGATATTCTACAGGTGATATTTGAACATAACATGCAATGCTGAGTTTGTTGATATTTTACAAATGATATTTGAACATAACATGCAATGCTTGTTGTACGCAATAACAGAAGAGCTTGTTCGAGTAGTTGTTAGTTTACGTTTCTAATAAAACGTTAAAAGGGTTAGGGTGATTCTAGTGAGGTGGGTTATTTATTATCTTGTGATAAAAATGACTCACTCACTTGTACACTAATTGTCAAGTTGTTTTTAGATTCTGTTTTTTGGATTAAATGACAAAATATTTATAGCTTTATTGATATCGATGATAAAATAGTTCAAAATATGGTATAAGGCGGAAGCCACAATCATATTGTTACTTGGATTTTCATTAGTGTTGCTAATGGATGTAACTCATCATTAAGAACTGTGACAGACTACAGATCCGAGGTTCGAGCTGTCGTGACGCGTAACATGCGAGGGATGTTGTAATTACAACACAATTCAGCTGATGGCCTTCCCTTGATAGTTCAAAATTAGGGAAGACTATACCTTATTACTTATGGTCTGAATCTTGGCCAAAATTAGGGAAGGCTATACCTTATTACTTATGGTCTCAATCTTGGCCAAAATTAGGGAAGGCTATACCTTATTACTTATGGTCTCAATCTTGGCCAAAATTAGGGAAGGCTATACCTTATTCCTTGGGGTGGTCTCTATCTTAGCCAAAATTAGGGAAGGCTATACCTTATTCTTTTGGGTGGTTTTTACCTTGGCCAAAATTAGGGAAGGCTATACCTTATTCCTTGGGGTGGTCTCTATCTTAGCCAAAATTAGGGAAGGCTATACCCGATTCCTTGGCGTTATCTTTACCTTGGCCAAAATTAAGGAAGGCAATACCTTATTACTTATGGTCTCAATCTTGCCCAAAATTAGGGAAGACTATACCCGATTCCTTGGCGTGGTCTTTACCTTGGCCAAAATTAGGGAAGGCAATACCTTATTACTTATGGTCTCAATCTTGGCCAAAATTAGGGAAGGCTATACCTTATTCCTTGGAGTGGTCTCTATCTTAGCCAAAATTAGGGAAGGCTATACCCGATTCCTTGGCGTGGTCTTTACCTTGGCCAAAATTAGGGAAGGCTATACCTAAACCCATGGGGTTTATTCTATCCGTTTAGCCCGTGTGCCGCCGAAACTTCTGTAGAAGCTGAAAATATCGATTCCAATTTATGAACTGTATAAAGTACCGTTGTAGTTTCGTAGTCCGCTGGCTGTAACTTCCTGCACTTTTATAAGTTTCTCATAAGACAGTAAGTACATGGATGTAACGAGTTTGTCTTATTCATTCTTGTGGGATCCGTGAAATATGAATTTTATATGTGATATATCACAAAGACGAAATTCTCCATACATATTTTATTTTTAGAATCGTGCGCACTTGCAGTAAGCCTTAATTTATATTGAATATTGACACAGAAGTGACATTTCGAGTATATTGAAAATTGTAGGTACTGAGGAGTTTGTGACAGTGTTTACCTAAGACGTGAAGCTCGGGTTAAGCATCCTCCCAGCAACAGCGAAGATTAGCGTACGCATGCGCCTGGAGTGTTGATATCTGTTGATCTGCCCATAATGAAGCCTTTTTGCTGCCAGCTATTTGTATTAAGAGATGATGTACGTGTCGTATTTTCTTAAACTTTCGTTACAAAAAAGGAGCGTATTTTTAAGTTTTTTTCGACTCCTCTATCGGTGACTGTGCTAAAATAAATGTGCTTGTGATTTGCCGGAGGATGTATTCAAGTATAAGAAAAATATATGTGTTAGGCTTAGGGGAAAGAGAAAAGTCCGAAGGAATGTTTTCAAGTATAAGAAAAATATACATGTTAGGCTTAGCGGAGATAGAAAAAAGTCTGATATGCTACTTCACACTGACACTGACTGCAATCATATAAGGATTTTAAAAACTCGGGTTCACTTCTCTCCCTCAGTAGGATTATTATTGGCGGTTTTGTTTCTTTCGTAGGCTCCCAGTTGCACATATTATGTAAATAAAATAAGGAAACACCTCTTTACGATAGGCAGACCACCAAGCCTGGAATGCTAGAGTATCAGATCTTAATCTGTTCAATGTCATCTTTGTTTTAAACAGGTTCTTTGTGTTCAATGTCCCTTGCGCAGTTGACAAACATTGATCATATGGCAGACATAATTAAGGATCTCATAAACAGTAACCTTATGACACTCTTAACCAAGGAACTCTATAAACAGTGACAATATGAGAGACTTAATCAGGGAACTTCAGGAACAGAAACTTTATAACAGTAATCAGACAGTTTGATAAATTATTAGGTTATAACATTAATTAGTTTGATAAACAGTTAGATTATGACAGTAATCAGGTAGTTTGATAAACAGTTAGATTATGACAGTAATCAGACAGTTTGATAAACAGTTAGATTATGACAGTAATCAGACAGTTTGCTAAAATATTTAGATTATGACAGTAATCAGACAGTTTGCTAAAATATTTAGATCATCACAGTAGTCAGACAGTTTGATAAAACATTTAGATCATGATAGTAATCAAACAGTTTGATGAACAATTATGACAGTAATGAAACAGTTAGGTTATGACAAACTTATTGAGGCAGTTTGATTTAAGAACGTGTCAAGTTAAAAGCAAAGGTTAAACTTTAAGAAAAAGTGATTAATAAGTAGAAAGTTTAAAACATTTTTCAATTTCCTTCTCTTTTTCCCTGATGTTGGTTTTGTAACTGAAATGTTCATAAGGGATGAGATTGTAAACCAGTAATTTTTATAGTCTGTTTATTTCTTTATTCGTTTGTAGGCCAGCCCTTTATTTGTGTTTCTTTTTTTTTTTGTATATCATGGTCTCACTCTAACTGATGGAAATCTCAAACTTTTAAGAAATAGTTCTTCCAAACGAAACTAGGCATTCCAAAAGTTGGGAGATTTGGGTTTTGACAGCGCCATCTATCGGCGTAAACTAACACGAAAATGAATGTGGCAGGCCAACTTATCACCAGTATACATATAATTAAAAAAACTTTAGACAAGTTTCTTCTCATCAACGTCGTCACCATCGTAGTCATCAGCCTTGGTCTTCTCTCTGCCTTCTGGACTTTCGGACATCTCTCAAATCCTCATACCAGCCAAATTAACAGATACGAGCTAACCCTGAAATTTCTTTCAACCTCACACACTTAGCAAAATTATTATTTTATTTTTTTGCGAATGGGACGAGG